GGTGTGGTAGACTGTATTACTCTTCACAAATACTTACTGCCCCTCCCCACTGACATCAGGCTTGGCCACACAAACTGCTCTCTCGAAGAAGTTTTAAGAGCATGCTCTCTGCTCTCTGCCATAACAATCAATAGTGTTTTAGAAAGAAGATGCTCTACTAGCCAGGGTCTTGGGGCAAAGATGTGTACAAAGTTGATTGTAGTGACTTCTGTGACTTATGATGGAAATATGAGTGAGAAATAACTCTGTGGCTGTAATTCAGGATTTGTGGATTACTACCACAGCATGCATTTCCAGCTCTCTGACTTCCAGGCACATAGTAGGACTGCACTTCCTCATACCCTTTAAGTTAGGCATTGTCATGTGACTCATTTTAGCCAGTGATCTGTGAAAGCAAGAATATACACCATTTCTATAGGAAGCTTTTAGCCAATGTGAATTTATCATGCTTTCTTTCCCTACCAAGGTGATCAGGATGCTGTGGAAGCATGCATTAAGATGAAACCTTCTTGAGAGTGGATGAATACACTGAGCAGAACCCCTCTGACCTTGAACATGTCAGTATGCAAGAAATAAGGTTTCTTTGATAAACTGCTGAGATTTGAGGATTGTTTGTTATGGAAACATAACCTAGCATATCCCAAGTGATATAAAAATTTGCACCTAGACATGGTGTAACATAATAACAATAAACACAACAGCTGAATCCTCATTTAGAGGGCAACAGCTAAGAGCAATAACTAAGATCACTGTTATCACATAACACCTGCGATAATTTAGCAGGCTGATCATGAACTTAATGAAGGAAAGCAAGCGATGGTAGCATAGAGCATTAGTAGCCTGTGCGAATGGCTGTTGAGATGAGCTCAGGAAAGATTTGGTCACTGTAGAGAATAGAGACAATCTACAAATTCAGGGCTTTGCAGGGTAAGAAGAGGCAATTGTTTCTCAATCCTAATGAATAAAATATAAAATCAATATATGCTTTCCACAACAAGTAAGGGCTTTGGGAAAAAAAATCAGGCTTGAAGTAAGGATAAGTCAAGGGATATGAACCTATTATTAAAACTTCAAAACAAATTAAGATGTTTCCTACAAGCCAGGCAATAGTGGCTCATGCCTGTAATCGTAACCACACAGGAGGCAGAGATCAGGAGGATTTAGATTTGAAGCAGGGCCCTATCTTGAAAATACCCAACATGTAAAAGCACTGGAGGAGTGGCTCAAATGGTAGAGTGCCTGCCTAGTAAGTATAAGGCCCTGAGTTCAAACCCCAGTACCATTAAAAAAAAAAATGGTTCTGGAATGGGGAGGAAAGGTGGGATTTTCCCACCAATGCCTAATAGGCCTAAAGCACTCAAAACCAAACTGAAAGCAAGAGACAGAGACAAAGAAATCATCAGGCAGAAGAGCAAGAAAGCAAAGAATCAGGGCAAACCATAAAAATACGTCTGGAAAAGAGCTATAGCTGTGGCTTTTGGCACATGGAACACCTGGTATCAAATAGACAAGAAGCCTACACATGTGTGGGAATGGTTCTGCCCAAAGAACATTAGCCTGCATTAAAGGAGAGTGTCTTTGAGGCTCAGTGTCACTCACACGTTTAAATGCTTATTGAAAAGTGTATTTCCCAAGGCCTGCTTTAATGTAGAAAAGGAAGACTCTCTCAGGAGCAAATCAATGGAAAACAATGAACAGAGCAGCTGCACTCAGGAGCAGAACCAGGGTCTAACTGGGGAACTGAATGGGGGGGGGAGGGCTCCTCAAAATGTCAGCTCAGTGGACCAATATCTACTGTGGCCTCACTTTCCAAATGGAGACCCATCTCACTTCATGGTACAGACTGATGGGTACACAGAGTAGACAGATGAGGAGACACATGTGGACCTGATGGGAATTCTACTAGATAGCACCTAGGAAGCCTGGGAAGTGAGCTTCATGCTGTTATTAGAAGAGTCCTTAGGGTTGACTTCCTGGAGGAAAGAGTGAGGGAGTTCTGCCTATGGGGGGACGGTGAGCCAAACATTTGGTGAACAGAAAGGGAGACTGTTAATCATTAGTGTTCCCCCAAATATTCCTGGCCAGCCCTTTCCGACACTTGGCAGAGTTTAGAGACTTCAAGTCATCAGCATGGCTATGTGACCAGCTTTGGTCAGTGGTAAATGGGAAGAAGTGATTCATGCCACTTTCAGGTGGATGCGCTGGGAGTCTGCCAATGATTTGAGTTCTCTTGCCCCAGCCAAGATAGTAGTGAGAAACATGTGACAAGATGAAGCCTCCTCAGCCTGAGTCCCTGAGAGACTATAGTAAGCAGAGCTCCCTACAGACACACACTGGGCCAGTAACAGGAGCAATAAATAACTGTTCATTGGGCTAAACCTCTGAGATGTTAGGGTTGCTTGTTAGGGTGGCATAACCCAGTCTTTCCTGACTGAGAGCTGGGAGTAAGAGATGAGGCTGAAAAGACAGGAGCTAGACTGTGAAAAGCTCCTTCTCCCAGGCAAAGAAGTTGAAGCTCTCTGTGGTTGTAAGGGGATGACAATGAAGGCTTCCAAAGCAGGGGAGTTAACATGAACAGATTTGTTATGTTTTGGATGAAATATGCTATTTCTCAACCTAAAGAGAAAATCAGCCTACTAAACCACATGAGGCAGAGGAACACACAGAACCCTTAGGCAAAAAATGTATATTTACACAAAGTCCTAAGTCTTGAAGTTTCTAAATACAGGAGCTCTGAAAAGGGTTAGAGATTCAGGCAAAAACATTTCTTCTATGCCACCAGCACTGTTTCCTCAGCAGATAATACAAGAAAGTTTGCCAAAACAGAGAAAATACAAGGGAATGTAACACAGACCTGAAGCCAATGTCCAGCAGCCTGTGTGACCTAAGCAAGACGCTCGACCTTCCTAGTCCCATTTCCTCATGTTAAGTCTAGATAATAATATATGCCTCTCAAGACGGTTGTGGGAAAACTGTTTTCAAATTGCTTAGAATACTTACCAGATAGGTGTTTAATGCATGAAAACTGATTTTTATTATTGTTATCAATAAAACATTATTTAAAATACCAGCTCCCTGATTACAACAGAGAATTATACAGGCAACAGACAGAGAAGCATGTTCCCTCCTTGGGGGAAGTAATTGGATATTGTCGCAGCTGTATCCCTGCGCGGGCCCCCTCCCAGCTCAGTGCCTGGCTGGCAGTAGCCAGTTTACCCCTGCTGCATGAAGGAAAGCAAGGGAGGTGAGCGCCCGGAGTGAAGAAAAGTTGGCGGGTTTCCCACTGATACCAGCTGCTGTTGGTTTCTGAAATCTCAAAGCCACAAATACCTTAAGGCCCCAGGGCTTCGAACCTAAGGCTGAATCTCCCCTTCCCCCACACTTATAGGCAGCAAGATCTGAATTAGAACCTAGCAACTTAAATTGCTACATATAGATTCAACTTCAATCTCCAATCCTAGATAGGTTTGGGAAAGGGCTAACTTCTAACCCTTTCCTCCCTCCCGTTTCCCCTCCTGCTCCTGGCAGAAAAGTAACCTGGTCCTGCCAAATCACACTCGTATATCCGTGCATTCCATCAAGGCTCTGGGGAACTGACGAAGGGCAGGGAAAGGGGCTGTCTGGTGACCACCTCTCTAATCCGAGAGGCCCCATGCTACTAGTTCCTGATAGCCCAATGCGGTGGATCCTACCAGCTCCACATGCAGATGATGTAAATGAAGCTCAAAGAAGTTCCGTGATTTGCAAACTACACACCGTGGCGTCCTAGCCACGAGAGAACAACGATTCCCGACTTCAGTATTCTAGCTACCACACACTTCTGTCGCTAAGGGGTGCGGGGCGGGGGGAACATAACTGCAGAAAAGAAAGCACTTACATGTGTCTAGCGCTTCCTAGAGGCTGCATAGGATATGCGCCCACCACCCGGTTAGGGAGTGGCGACTTAAGTGTGTTCGTACTCCAGACTCCTGGTTCTACTTCGTCATTTTGGCCGTGTTCGCTGCTCAGCGGACTTGTTTTACCAGAAGCAAATCAGGGTGGAAGGTGCGTGTGTTTGTGGGGGTTGTTATGCGGTGGAGGAACGGGAGAGCAGACGATCGGCAGGTTTTTCCGAGTTTCGGATTTCTTGAATGCTCATTACTGTCTGGACGCTTAGTCGTCCCCTAATTCCACCTCTATAAAACTCGTCCCTCGCAAGCAAAGCTGTGAAACCCTGCACACTTTCCCCCATGGTCCCAGAGGGTGAAACGGGCTGCCGGGCACTCAACTGAGTCCCAGTTTCAAGCAATGCAAATCGCTCTGCTTTTAGATGCGGACGGTCCTTGTGAACGTGACCAAGAGACAAACTTCCGCACGTCCTAATGGCGCGGGGGGGGGTGTGTTAATCTCTCAAGCCCGCCCCCAAACTTAAGCCCACTTTCGCTCTCCCGCACTGGGGACCTAACAGAGCGACCTTAAGTGTGGTGCTCCCGCCCCCCGGAAGTGCGGGGGAGCAGACCCAGCTCCCAGCCTCTGGCCTCGGCGAAACGCCCGCGAAGGACCCGGAGCCCCGCACGTGGGAAGACACCTCCAGTCCCCGCCCGCACCCTCAGCCCCAGGCCACTGGCCCTCTCCCCCAGCCTTCTGTGTCCCCGCATCCGCGTCTGGAGCCCTGAACTTGAGCCCGCCCCCGTCAGACGCTACAAGCGTCCAGCCGCTCGCGGCAGTCACCGTCACTAGACAGTCAAACCCCAAGACGTCAGCCCACAATGCACCGGGCGGGCCGGGAAAGACACGCCGGGGAGGGGACTGGGGAGGAGAGGCCCAAGAGGCGCGCGGGAGGGGGAAGGGGAGGAGGAGAAAGAAGGGCCCAACTGTAGGAGGGCAGCGGAGCATTACCTCATCCCGTCAGCCTCCGCGGGTCGGGAGAAGAATCTTCTAGGGTGGAGTCTCCATGGTGACGGGCGGGCCCGCCCCCCAGAGAGCGACGCGAGCCAATGGGAAGGCCTTGGGGTGACATCATGGGCTATTTTTAGGGGTTGACTGGTAGCAGATAAGTGTTGAGCTCCGGCTGGATAAGGGCTCAGAGTTGCACTGAGTGTGGCTGAAGCGGCGAGGCGGCAGTGGAGGTGCGCGGACTAAGGCAAACAGACTTAGGCAGACAGACAGCCAGGACGGCAGTGGAATCCGATCTGCAAATCTTTATTATTTTCTCATCAACTGCCTAGAGCCAGCGCCTGTGGCTCCCACGCTGCTGTTTTGGGAGCGCCTGGAGAGCCCCTTCTCCTGCCGCCCCCGGAGAAGAGCCCCGTTGCCCGGGAGCTACTGACAGTGTGAAGAGCAGAGACTGCCCGCGCAGAGAAGTCGGTGAGCGGTTGCAGCAGCAAGTAACTTTCCTGGCCTGGAGGACCGGGGACAAGTGGCCCCGGGTCCCAGAGCGAACTTTTGCAAATCTTTTTCTGCGCCGTAGGCTGCCGCGGCGGCAGTAAAGAAAAGGCAGCGGAGGGAGAGAAGGGACCTGAGCTCAGCTTCGCTCGCACCGGTTGCTGAACTTGGGCAAGCGCGAGCCGCGGCCGCCGGGAGTCCCCCTCCCCCTTTCAGCGGAGGAGGGGTCAGTCGTCAGATCGGGTGGCCGAGACCCGCCGCTGCGGACGCCGCGCTGACCAGCGCCATCGGATAGCCGCTGTCCCGAGGAGGCGAGTTCGTCTGCGGGCTCCGAGGACCCGCTGCGCCCGAAGAGCGCTCAGTGAGTGACCGCGACTTTTCAAAGCCCGGCTGCGCGCGCGAGCAGACAAGTAAGAGTGCAGGCGGCGTCTTAACCCTGTGCTCCCTGGAGCGAGCTGGGGAAGAGAGCTCTGGGGGAAGGACAGCCAGAGAGAGCGCGCGGTCTTAGAGAGAAACTTTCCTTGCCAAAGACCCCGGGAGGCGCGGGTTCCCCCGCTTGCCAGCGCGCTGTTGGGGTCCCGAAACTTCTGCGCCCAGCCCAAACTAACCTCACGTGAAGTGACGGACTGTTCTATGACTGCAAAGATGGAAACGACCTTCTACGACGATGCCCTCAACGCCTCGTTCCTCCAGTCCGAGAGCGGCGCCTACGGCTACAGTAACCCCAAGATCCTGAAACAGAGCATGACCCTGAACCTGGCGGACCCGGTAGGCAGCCTGAAGCCGCACCTCCGCGCCAAGAACTCGGACCTCCTCACCTCGCCCGACGTGGGTCTGCTCAAGCTGGCATCACCCGAGCTGGAGCGTCTTATTATTCAGTCCAGCAACGGGCACATCACCACTACGCCGACCCCCACCCAGTTCCTGTGCCCCAAGAACGTGACCGATGAGCAGGAGGGCTTTGCCGAGGGCTTCGTGCGCGCGCTGGCTGAACTGCACAGCCAAAACACGCTACCCAGCGTCACATCCACGGCCCAGCCGGTCAGCGGGGCGGGAATGGTGGCTCCCGCGGTGGCCTCGGTGGCGGGCGGCAGCGGCAACGGCGGCTTCAGCGCCGGCCTGCACAGCGAACCGCCGGTCTACGCCAACCTCAGCAACTTCAACCCCGGCGCCCTGAGCAGTGGCGGCGGGGCGCCTTCCTACGGCGCGGCCGGCCTGGCCTTTCCCGCGCAGCCCCAGCCGCAACAGCCGCCACCGCAGCCACCGCACCACCTGCCCCAGCAGATCCCTGTGCAGCACCCGCGGCTGCAGGCCCTGAAGGAGGAGCCGCAGACGGTGCCCGAGATGCCTGGCGAAACCCCGCCCCTGTCCCCCATCGACATGGAGTCCCAGGAGCGGATCAAGGCGGAGAGGAAGCGCATGAGGAACCGCATCGCCGCCTCCAAATGCCGGAAAAGGAAGCTGGAGAGGATCGCCCGGCTGGAGGAAAAAGTGAAAACCTTGAAAGCGCAAAACTCGGAGCTGGCGTCCACGGCCAACATGCTCAGGGAACAGGTGGCACAGCTTAAACAGAAAGTCATGAACCATGTTAACAGTGGGTGCCAACTCATGCTAACGCAGCAGTTGCAAACGTTTTGAAGAGAGACTGTCGGGGCTGAGGGGCAACGGAGAAAAAAAAATAACAGAGACAGACTTGAGAACTTGACAGGTTGCGCCAGAGAGAAAAAAAGAAGTGTCCGAGGACTAAAGCCAAGGGTATCCAAGTTGGACTGGGTTGCGTCCTGACGGCGCCCCCAGTGTGCACGAGTGGGAAGGACTTGGCGCGCCTTGACTTGGCGAGCGGCCAGGGAGCGGCCGCCTGCGGGCTGTCCCGCTTTGCGGACGGGCTGTCCCCGCGCGAACAGAAAGATAGACTTTTCTTTAACATTGACCAAGAACTGCATGGACCTAACATTCGATCTCATTCAGTATTAAAGGGGGGCGGGGGTTACAAACTGCAATAGAGACTGTAGATTGCTTCTGTAGTACTCCTTAAGAACACAAAGAGCGGGGAGGGCTGGGAAGGGGAGGAGGGAGGGAGGTTTGTGAGGGTGAGGCTGAGCCTACCGATGAACTCCTGGCCTGCCTTCGTCCACTGTGTATGTACATATATATTTTTTAATTTGATGAAAGCTGATTACTGTCAATAAACAGCTTCCTGCCTTTGTAAGTTATTTCATGTTTGTTTGTTTGGGTGTTCTGCCCAGTATTGTTTGTAAATAAGAGATTTGGAGCACTCTGAGTTTACCATTTGTAATAAAATATATAATTTTTTTATGTTTTGTTTCTGAAAATTCCGGAAAGGATATTTAAGAAAATGCAATAAAATATTGAAAAGTAACCCCCCCCAACCTCTTTTCTGCATTATCTATAGATAAAGACACTAGACGAGTAAGAGTTGAGTGTCAACTAAAATCACTCACAGTGCTTCTTGCTGTCAAGCAGTGAAAACTATTCTCTGTTAGACTTTAGAAATAAACCACCTGATGCTACCATCAGGTTGTACTCGTCTGTCCCCCAGTGTATTTATAGAGCCGCTTACCAGAGGATAGTGTAATGTGTTTCAGGAGGCTGGAGGAAGGGGGGTATAGTGCAGAGGTGCAGCCCACTGGCAAGTCAAACACTTTAAAGTTTTGGATTGTAGCAATTGGTATGCACTCTGATCATTTATAATGTTAGTAGAAATTTAACAACAGATGCTTATTCTTAAAACAGGAACTCATGGCAGGTTTTACAAAAGGTGTATCCTTCCAATTTGGAATCTTCACTTTAACAATTCCTAGATAAAGAAGATGGCCTTTGCTTATGAATATTTATGACAGCATTCTTGTCACAATAAATGTATTCAAATACCAAAAACAAATCTTGAATTCCTTTCCCTTTACTACTTTTTTCTTCCCAAGCTATGTACTATAGCATTTCTTTTCACTTTCTAAGGGTTAACACTACTTCAATCTGAATTTACTTAGTGATTAAAGAAGCAAAGAATTTAGGAAGAGTTAAAATAGGACATTCTCCCAATCTCTCTCTCTCTCTCTCTTTCTCTTTCTCTCTCCTCTTTTTCTCCCCCCAACCCCTAAAACACCAGAAAAATTTATATCTATATTAATTTGTTTCTTAAATAATGAACCTGTCTTAAATAGTTATTATAGAATCAGTCTTGGAAGATGGCGATCTAAATACTATAGAAAAGATTCATAAGAGAAAACATGAACACTAACACAATGACTGAAGTGTAAATCAACCCTTAGCTCTGGGGAACTGGCAAACTTAGATTCTGTCTACAGATGTAACTTAGGAGATCAACAAGGCAGTACTCTACAAGGGAACGATTTTTGCTTGGTTGCTTTTCATCCCAAAAGCCACTGTGATTATCAAGCAGCAAAAGTAATGTGATATCCAGGAATATTTCACAAACCACTAATTGAGGCAGGGCTGTTTGCTCTTTAGCAGTGCTCTAGTACCCAACAGGTCTGGGAGTGCTAATATCCTGCCTGTGGGCTGTAAATCAACACACACAGAGTTTCTCCTTAGGAGTCCATCTAGGAGTGCAAGAGATTGGACAGTCTTGTTAGCTATCAGAGACACTTCTTTGTAACACTTCTTAAACAAAGGGTTACTGGGAGCAGAGTGAAGTTTGCCAAACAGTGAATTTGCTGATGTCAGCAACCCGGAAGGTGAGTTGATTTTGACCATATGTAGAAATAGTCAGCAGAGGGACAATAAAGCACCTTGGGGTGGGGCTCTGTGGAAGCTAAACAAGAGCCAACTAGAAAAAATAAGCAGGCTGGGGAATTAATTACCTTCAAAGGTAGACTAAGCCCAGACAACAGTGCAGTGCAGCACAAAAAGCCACACTGTTCTCTAGTTTGCTTTAGACTTCAGTGTTTAAAAAAAGAAAAAGAAAATGTAACACAGGTTTGTCCTCACATTTGAACATTTCAACTAACTTTCTAACTGTGTATTCCTGAAATTCTAACCATTGTAACATAAAGGGATAGAAAAAATAATTGTAGTAGAGGAAGTTAACCAATAATATCCTGTCAAGTTTGGAAATAGAATTTCAGCTAATTACTTGTAGACACATTCCATGATTAATTTTATTATGGACTTCAATGAGTTATTCTTTAGGTAACAGAAAGGATAAATCTAACAGTATAACAAATTATTCCTCTTATTGTTATATATGTTTATATAACAATTCAATCATGTATTCTTAACTGTCCATTGAGACAGATTTTATGAAATCAATAGAAATGCCTACAGAATTGTGTGTGTGTGTGTGTGTGTGTGTACGTACATGCACGTGCAGAGAGAGATCACTAGCTTTTAATTTGGCCTTCATAGAGTTCTCTGACTCAAAAATATTACTAAGCCCTGAATTGAATGGCTACATGTTCACTATCGCAATACCTTTCCAAGCTTCTGCTTGTATCCCTCTGCTCATCCCTCTGCCTGGAATACCTTTCCTTCCAGTTCAACTGATAAATCTTACCCCTTCTTTAAGGCTTGCTTGGCATAAATGGTACTTTCTCTGTGAAGCCTTTCTTGTTGGTTTCATGTTGACATGAAATGAGCATCAAAACATTTACCAAAATTTCTACCACACCACTTAGCAAAATGTGAACATCTATGCTCACTTACCCGTTGTGAACATCTACGTTTCCTGGCCAGAACCTTACGCTATTCTTTGGAGAATCACCAGACTCCTAGTACAGTGCCTCATATATAATAGATGTTTATAAAATAAATTTTTGATGACTGAATAAATAAGTAAACAAGAAATAAAGTGGTCTTCATTTTTTTTAGAGAAACTTACTTCATTTCCTACTGCACAATTCCAGATGGATCAAAGACACTCCTCCCAAAAATAGTCAAACCTAGCAATTAACAAGATTGAACAGGCTATAGCCAATCAAAGTTCTCAACAAGTGTTCTTCAAAGAGTTACACTGTTAACGCATTCATACTTCTAGTTACACAGAGCATCCCTACCTGCCTCCACTAAAGCAAGTGAACATCTTCCTATATAAAATGAATCTGCCTGAAACATTAGGCTTGGAGGTGGAGATGAGGATACTATGTGTATCATTGAGCAGACACAAAACGTAGTTCCAGATGAGGTTTCATTAAAAACAACCAATGACATTGGTAATGACAAAGGGAACTTACTGTCTATAAATTTACATGTATTTCAGGGGTCTACAAGTTCGTACTGAATGAAGGAGAAGGGTTCATGCTAATCCACCCATTACACATGTCCTTTTATTATTAGAAAAGAAGTACCTTGGTGGAATCAAAGAAAAAGACAATGCCTTCCAGTCCACCCTGCCCCTTGCCTCCACCACACACTTCTATATGGATGGAGTGAAGTCTCATGGAAGAGAGGAAGAAGATTAAAATCTGGGATGACCCCAGAGCTGAAACTATTACTTCCTAACTCTGGAAATCAGACTTACTTATTTGGTTTCAGACTTTTGGACATCCTGAGAAAGAGAATTCCCTTGGGCCTGGGTCTCTCTGAGGTTCTGTTAGGCTGTGGGGATGCAATAATGAGAAGGTATCATCCCTATTCTCATGGAACTCATACTCTGGTGAGAGGGAGTGTGGAGAGGAACCAGAGACATGCTAATGGCACAAAACACAGGAGAGGAGAGAAGGAGCCATTATTAGACTCCATGGAGAGGTGATATGTGAGCCTATCCTGTGGGACTCAGAAGGCAGAAAAGGTTGGGGGAGGGACTTGTAAGCAAAGCACAAAGCATGAGAAAACACAGTGCATTTAGGGATTTGTAAGCTACTTGGAGAGGTTGGGGGCAAAGGTATAAGGAGAAAAGTGGAGGGAGCTGAGCATGGGAGTGAGTTAAGGCTGGGTGTGCAGTGCCATCTATTCTGTATTCTTGTATAGGTGATGGAGAAATGTAAAGTTAGTTGAAGCAGAGCAGGGACACCGCCACTCTCAACTTAGGAAAGATTCATACTGAAATGACAGATGGGCCAGGAGGAGGCTAGGAAATGGGAGTAACATGAAAAAAAAAAGTAATCTGGGTTAATTTAGAATGTATGTGGTGTTTAAAGTAGTCCTAGAGTTGAAGAAGAAATGGGGTAAAAGATAGTTTGATAGTCTGATAAATTAAACTTAAAGAGGGATATCAAGAAGCTCACTTTACACCTATTCTACTTGTCCCACACTTATATTTTCCTTTCCTCTGTGTCAATTGGACAACCTAAAGGAAAATCATCTTACAAATTCTCAGTGTCAGGAAGCTCAAATAAACATGTGAAAGAAATAGGCCTGCAACTGCCTAGGTCACGCCTCCAAGGTGAGAGCTCACAGTAGATCTTGCAAGACCTAAATTTGATTTTGTCTAGTCACCCAGAACTGATTAAGTTCTATGAGACTAACTATACAAACTCCAATGTATAAATGAGACCGATGTTTTTTTTTTTCATTTTTCTTTTATTATTCATATGTGCATACAAGGCTTGGTTCATTTCTCCCCCTGCCCCCATCTCCTCCCTTACCACCCACTCC